TTATTAAGTAGACTTAAATAGGTTATAAAATTTCCCATATGGCAGGTTTACCACATAGAAAAGTGCTACCTACCAACCTCACAGAGGTGTTGTGAGGCTGCATGTCTGTAAAGTGCTTTAGGTAACTTTCAGGAAAGGCAACATAGAAGTATGAAATAATCTTACAGAGTTCATGAGAAATAACAAGACTAATACAGTAGGAAGGGTTTCTCTTATTTAAAGAATCGTACTAGCTAGTCATAAAACCTCTGAAACAATATTTTATAGTTTTGGTTTTTCATCATTTATTTAAGGTAAGAAATGTTTCTCTATTCCTAATCTTTTACACAGCCATTCTCACCCTAGGTTGTGTTCTTAGAATCCATTGAAAAGCTTGTTAAAAATATAGACCCTAAACATTTCCCTAAGGTCATAGTTGAGAAGGGATGGGGAGGTGGGTGGAATGGAAATAGGAATCCCAGGGAGGTAACGGGATAATTGTTGTTGCATGGAGGGGATTATAATCATTGAGATAAAACAAAGTGTAGGATTTGTTGAATGTAAAACTGATAAGCTTCTATGTAAACCTTCACTCAACCAGCAATTTAAATATATATATGGAGAGAGAGACCCTTCGGCTACACCTGAAACCACAGAATTAAAATCTCTCCAGGTGGGACCCAGTTTCCTATGTATTTTTTAAAGGACTTGTGGGGGATTTTGATGTATAACAAAGTTTAAAAACCATTTCTTTTCAGAAAATGACAATTCATTCAACTTTGATCTTCTTCCTAAAACACTATTTTTAAGATGAAATGAAGTTGGATCTGAGTATCAATTTATTATTGCCTTTTTACCTTCTCATGTCCCATAAAGACTCAGAGTACAACACACAAACACACAGACACATACACACACAGGTGTACAAACACACACGTTTCAGTTCTTGCTGTGACTTAAAATTAGATAGTGATAAAATTTTATAGTAACAAATAAATGCTTGATCGGGAAGATATGCAAGGATGTGCCATCCATCCCCACTGGGCACAAAGCAAATGGATGTTTCCCATTTGCAGGAACGGAATGGTTGAAACAGACATTTCCAATTTAGAAACGAGTCCAGTCAGCACTTCTTGGGAAACATGATATGAGTAGATGCTGACCCACAACTCCATGAGAGGTTATATAACCTACTGCCATCAAGTTGAATCCAACTGACAGCCATGCTGCAGGACAGCGTAGACATGACCCACAGGGTTTCTAACACTGTAATCTTGACAGAAGCAGACTGCTACATTTTCTCCTGGTGAGTTAGAACCACCAACCTTTTGGTTAGCCGCTGTGGCACCAGAACCCCTTGTGAGGTAATGTTGTTGTTGTTAAGTGCCATCAAGTCGGTTTCGACCCATAGCGACCCTGTACAGGGTTTCCGAGGGTGTAAATCTTTACGGGAGTAGAAAGCCTCATCTTTCTCCCGTGGAGTGGCTGGTAGTTTTGAACAGCTGACCTTAAAATTCGCAGCCCGATTCGTAACCACTATGCTACCAGAGTTCCTAATATATAGTGGCCAGCAATGAAGTAATGATAGTCTTTCTGTTGGAAGCTGGTCTGCATCTCAACAAAGGGAATTGAATCAGTTTATGCTCAGTACACATCAAACAACATGTGGATGCTTTATCAAGGCAAATAAAATGAAATACAGTCATGCACCTCATAATGTCTGTTCAGGCAATGTTTGACCATATATATGTCCATGGTCCTGTAAGATTATAATAGAGTTCAGAAACTTCAGATACAGGGTTGAAGGAACACAACTTCCTACACACAATACGTATATCTCATGTCTCTTGTATACAAAGCAATTGCAATGCTGTTGTTAAGTTCCATCAAGTCAATTCCAAATCAAGGAAACTTTTTATAGGGTTTCCAAGGAGCAGCTGGTGGGTTTGAACTATAGACCTTGTGGTTAACAGTCCAGTGCTTACCCTAGAGCATCATGCCAGGCATAAAGTGGTACATAAACAAGGGGAAGTTAAAAATGATTGCTACTTGAGTTCCAGTGCATCCATGCAGAGGCTATTCCAAACAAAATGTGTTTTAACAGGTCTGCAATCAGTGGATGAGTGCAGACAAGTTTTCTCAGTAATACACTTGTCTAAGTCTTCTTAGGGTGCCTTCAGAGCAGAGAGAGCCACTCATTAGTGAAGTCAACTGTATTTTGGGAATTCAAAGTGGTAACCTTGATAGACTTTCTCCAAGGACACAGGGCAATCACAGGAGCTTATTATGAAGAAGTTTTAAGAAAATTGAAAACTGCATTAGTGAGAAAAAGGCCAGGAAATTTACACCAAGCAATTTCTTTCATCACAACAATGCACCTGTTCATTCCGTGACGGTAGTAAGGGTTGTCTGATAAGGATTTCATTGGGAAACTTGCTCATTATCCACCCTACCATCCTTCAAACTTCTTTTAGCTCCCCAAATGCAAAGAACATTGAAAGATAACATGATTTGAGTCCTCAAACACGTTAAACTTGTTGTTTGATGTGGTGTAAATCAAAGAGAACAAATCTCTTCTGGATCGGGTTGTTGTTCTTGTTGTTAAGTGCCATCGAGTTGGTTCCAACCCAGAGTGACCTTGCCCAGGGTTTCTGAGGAGCTTGAACTGCTGACCTCATGGTTAAAACTGACCTTGCAGCACTTTGACTCAGCGCCACACCAGGGTTAGAGAGATGGAAATACTGCCTTCAGAAGTGTCTGGATGTACATGGAAAATATGTAGAGGAGCAATGGCTTCATGTTTTGATATATTTGGTTAATAAAGGTTGTTATGATTGTATAGCACTATTTTTTATTTAACCTTGCATAATCTATAATACATATGTCTGGACAGTCATAGTAAACACCTACGTTACTGTACTATACATCCTACCTAAAAAATATACTGTGTAACGGGGTATGTTTTGACTCATGTTGGAGTTAGTTTTGACTCACAATGACTTTATGCACAGCAGAAGGAAATATTACCCAGTCTTGTACCATCTTTACAATCATTTTCTGTTAAGCTTGAGCCCATTATGGTTGCTACTGTGCCAATGTATCTTATTGGGAGTTGTTCTCTTTTTTGCTGACCCTCTATTTTACAAAACATGATGTCCTTTTCCAAGGACTGTCACTCCTGATAATAGGACGGAAGTATGAGAGCCCAAGTAACCACCCTAGCTTCTAAGGAACATTCTGGCTATACTTCTTCCAACACAGATGTAGTTTTACTTCTGGTCTTCCTTATTCATTGTATGATTTCCACATGCACATGAAACTATAGAAAATACCACGAATCGGGTCAGGTGCACCTTAATCCTTGAACTGGCATTGGCATCTTTGTACTTGAACACTTTAGAAAGATCTTATGCAGCAGATTTACATAATGCAATGCATCATTTGATTTCTTGACTGCTGCTTCCACGAGTGTTGAGCATGGTTCCAAGCAAAATAAAGTCTTTGACAACTTCAATCTTTTCTGTATTTATCCTGATGTTGTTTATTGGTCCAGTGGTGAAGCTCTTTGCTTTCTTTACATTGAAGTGCAACTGATACTGAAGGCTGTGATCTTTGATCTTCATCAGTAAGTATTTTAAGTTCTCCTCACTTTCAGCAAGAAAGATTCTATCGTCTGCATATCGCAGATGATTAATGAATCTTCCTTCAATCCTAGTGTCACATTTTTCTTCATAGGCAGCATCATCTAATCTTGTGTATTTTGTGTCTCTTGAGGATCGTAGCATCATCTCTCTGCTTAATTTTCTTTAAAAAAATATGACAATGAAGTACATCATGACTCCCAAGCCCAGCAAAACCAGTGCTAGTGACAAACAACAGCAAGCGGCAAAGGAAAAGTATCAACTGGAAGGTAAACAAAAGGTTTTTAAGCGATATAGAAATCAGAGAATGCTACTATTGCTCAGGATTTAGACATATTGCCCTGGACAATTATGACAATCCTCAAGAAAAAGTAAAAATTCTCCAAGCTGTTAAAATAATTGGCTCCACTGAAAACTACAAAGCTAACTTTAACATGTGAAAGAGACCTATATCAGATACAGAGAAACGTCTAATGATGTAGATTCAGGAACACACACAAAAGTGAATTCCTCTCAGCAAACTGAGGATCACTTCTAAGCACAAAACTTATTCCGGATGATAAAAAAAAAAAAGAAAAAGGACCAGGTTGCAATATGGTGTTTGCCCAGCGTACAAATCACATCATGTCCAAACCACACAGAACATTTCAGAGATGTTAAGCAACTCATGATTATCATGAAAACTAGTGACTGCGATTTCAAATCTTTTTTTTTTTTTTTTTAATTATCAGTTGTTTCATTGTGATTCTTCCTACTGTTTTCTTTTGCTGGTTGGCTTCAAGTCTTCTATTTACTAGTTAGTCTACATAGAGAGGAGAGTGGTTTAATCCCTACTGGCCATTACACTAATCTCATGGTGCTGATGGCATCGGTTCTAAAATAGAAGCATCCCTCTGGGCACCTTGCAGTGGAATTAACAGAGTCTGCTGAGAAACTATACTTCTTTACACGCAGGAGAACTTGTGTAGTGCTTATAGTTCACCAGCCAATTATTTTTACAATTTCCATAACTAGTAAGTAACAGTAAAACAGAATAGTCCCATTTCTTGGAAAAAGATAAAATATACAGCAGATAGAGAGGCTATATATATACAGTGCAGAGAGAACAAAAAAATAAAAACTCATTTCGAGTCAGCCACACTGATATATTGCTATGAGGAAATAGTCTTGACTCTTCAGAATTTGCCTAAGAATTTGTTAAAATATGTTTTGCTTGTTCTTGTTGCTATTGTTAAGTGCCATCGAGTCATAGCTGACTCATAGCAACTCTGTATAAGGCTTCTGAGGAGCAAGGCTGCCGGATTTGAACCACAAGCCTTGCATTTTAAACCAACCTTGTGGTCTAGTGCTTATCCTATAGTGCCAAACCAGGACTCCTAAATGGCATACAATAGCAAATATTCCAATATTCCTCTAAGCATTAGAAGCAACTTTGTACAAATAAGTTGTTGGAGCTGACTTGGAGAGTTGCTTGTTGCATGTTTCCCAGGGAGGCAAGGCTGCCAGCAGCAAAATAAAACCTCCCAGCAAGACGCAGAAGCCACTAAAATAAAATGCAGTGTCATAGGTATGGGTCCAATCATAAAACCAACCTGAAACGAAAGTAAGAGAAAAATGAATGTCATAGAAGTAGGATGGATATCAAGCCCTTACATTTTATCAATTTTATATACCATACAGCTTAGCAGATTATCCCACTTACTCCAAAATGGTCTACTGGGAATCAGAAGATGAGACTCTATCTAACATTTGGATAAAAACAATAAGGTATTTTGAGTTATTCCCAAATAAAGGATGAGCATGAATCCTGGAGTGAATAATATATTGAGATCCTTAATTATAGCCAAAGTAATTTTCAATAAATCATCATGTGATAAGCCATTTCAGGTAGTTTTGTGTGTGTGTGTGCAAATTTGTTCTACTATTACAACATGAATTTCTTAATCTGGAGATGTTATACAGAAAGTCAGTAAGATATGTTAACTTGAAGATAAATATCTTACCAACAATTGGTGGTCCAAGGCTATTTCCAAGTCCAGCAAAGAACATTAATATTCCATAGGCATGGGCTAAGTTTTCAATCCCCACAGTCTTGGTAGTCACATATGGAAAAATGGACCAGTTACCAGTAAGAAAGCCTAGGATCCCAGAAAGTATTGCTAGTGTAACATAACTTTTGGCAAATGGAATTGCACATAAGGCTAAGCCCATGATTATTAAGGTAACTACATAAAGGTATAAGGTATTAATCCACTTGAAGTCAGCCAATATTCCTAACAGGAGTTTACCAACTGCTGTCATGATGCCTATAACAGAAATAAGAGGCATAATAAGATCTTCTTCTCTCACATTTGAACTTCTTGCTACATCTTCCATAAGTAATGAAGGTGGAAATCCGCCAATGTCAAAAAGAAAGATGGCGATAAAAAGTGCTGAAAATACTTTGTTTTTAAAAAGAGCCACAGTTTCTCCACAGTAGTTTCTATACAATTGCCACTTCCTCTTGGCAAGCTGCTTGCAGAAATATGTCTGTTCTGCAACTTTCTTTTTGTACGTTTCAGTCTCTTTTGTGTGGATCATGGTTGTTGGGTTTTTATGAAGTGGGCCCTCCTGTTTCCAGTCTCCATTGGCTAAAGTGCTCTTGCATTTTCCCTCACAACTGTAGCTCTTTTCAAGAATGCTTATGTTTTCTTCCAGGGTCTTTTCTTTTTCACTGTAAATAGAGTATCTTTCTGGAACATTTTCTACAGCTGTTTTTTCAGGCAATGGACAATCAGAGGACTGCAGGGGTCTCATCAGACTGCCACAAGCTAATATATTTAAAGCTAAAGCACCGACAATCAGCAAGCACCCATCCAGCCCATAAAATTCGATCAGCAATCTTTGCAGAGCAGCATATATAAAAAGTCCAACACTTGAACCTAAAAGGAAATGGAACTGTTTAATTACGGATCTCTTACAAGCATTCATAGTACAAAAATTCAGTTGTTGTTTTTTTACCACTGTTATTCATATGGGCCTTATATTAAAATGACAAAAAGAATATTGAAGATAGTAATAGTAACTATAAAAAATAGTAAAATTGGTAGAACATTTATGACTTAGTATTTATATGTTAGACATTGTTCTAAGCCATTTATATATACTGAATGATCTTGTTTAATCCTTATAATGATCTTATTTGATAGGTCTGATCTTAACACCCGATTTCTTAGGAATATCTGTAGATTAACAGCTAATATAGATGAACGTAAAACTTTTTTTAAAATTTAGCAGCTGTATCTCGTAAGTAACAGAATTTTCAGTAAGTTTCCTAAAGTGCTATGTTGTTATTAAGTGCTGTTGAGTCATTTTAGACTCATAGCAACCCAGTATGGGGTTTCTAAGAGTGGCTGGTTGGTTTGAACTGCTAACCTTGTGGTTGTCAGTCCAGTGCTTATATATAAAAAAAAAATCCCCTGAAAAGTCAGACACCATTTTTAAATGTCAAATGGAATGCCAAAACCACACCAAACCCACTGCCACAGAATCTGATCTGACTCATACAGATCAAAGTAGAACTGCCCCAAAGGGTTTCCAAGGCTATAACTTAACAACAACAATCTTTACAAAAGCAGACTGCCATATCTTTCTCCCACAGAGTGCTGGTGGGTTTGAACCACCAAAACTTTTAATTAGCAGCTCAGTGTTAAACCATTACACCACTAGGGCTCCTGAGAGACCGTGCAGAAGGCTTTTATATTTATATTGTCCCATCTGTGATCATCTCTTGATTATTACTGCAAGAGCAAACAGCGTGTCATTTAGATATGCTGGTCAATGAGGAGGCCAGGTGGCACAATGGGTTAAGTACCAGGCTGCTAACCAAAAGGTCCACCAGCTGTTTCAAAAGAGAGAGACGAGACAACCTGTTCCTGTAAAGATTTACAGCCTCGAAACTTCTAGGGAGCAGTTCTACACTGCCCTACGGGGTCCCTCATCATAAGTCAGGATCAATTCAACAGCAGGAGAATGGCTGGGTAGATAAATGAGATATATTCATGAAAATTCTATAGAAATTATCATCCATATAAATGATAATTTAAATTATAATAATGATATATATCATAACAACATAATAGTATTAATTTATTGTAATAGCCAATAAGAATCAATAGAGTCCTGGTATTGTGCTGCAGGATAATGCGCTGGGCGGCAAGGTTGGTTTGAACAGTAAGGTTGGTGGTTCAAACTCATCAGTTGCTCCTCGGGAATCTTATACATGGTCGCTATGAGTTGGGACCGACTCAATGGTACTTAAAACCAAGAAGAACTAATATTATATTACTAAATTTTAATATAAAATTATAATTCCAAATTTAAAATTTCATTTCTTATTTAGAAAAATTATGAGTTACACAATGAACTGGGAGAGAGATGATCAGCATCTGTCTTTCTGGGAACTGCTTCAGAATCTCCATTTTCCTTCCCTTTCCCCCAAGGTGCTTTACACAAATGCTCTTTACTTCTTTTAGCAAAACCCTCACCACCATTTGACTCTTAATTAGGCCCATAACCTTTCTCTTCCTACATTATCAGACATCTAATGCCTTAGAATTTTCACATATGTATCTTGTTGTTGTTAAGTTGTTAACTCAAAGCGACACTGTATAAGGTTTCCAAGAAGCGACTGCTGAATTTGAACCCTCCACCTTGCTGTTCAAACAGACATTGAAGTCCAGCACATTACCCCGCCAACACCACACTTTTTAATAGCTGGTCCCATATATAAAGCAAAAAATATAATTTCCTTCTGGAAGTTGTTGTTGTTGTCATTAAGTGCTGTCGAGTCGGCTCCAACCGATAGCGACCCTGCACAGGGTTTCCGAGGTTGTACATCTTTACAGGAGCAGAAAGCCTCATCTTTCTCTGGCAGAACAGCTGGTAATTTCAAACTGCTGACTTTGCAGTTCGCAGCCTGATTCGCTACCACTACGCTACCAGAGTAGGGTAAAAAAATTACTTTGCCACTTGAATGGTATCTGGGGAACAGCTAGTTAAACACCTCTGGGCTTGGAAACTATTAACTTTTCTAGACAGGTAAACAGTGACTTATTGTGAATATGTACCTGTGGATATCAGGCCAAGTGCGAGGCCTCGACGGCTGTCAAAATACTGGCAGGTAATGGTCACTGTTGCGGTGTATAATAACCCACATCCAAGACCTACATGTGTAAAGACATTGCATAAAGTAAGACAGAGGGCAGGACTTCAATGCAAAATTTTAAAAAGAACAAATTACTTATTTACAGTTGGACATACTGTTGCTAACTATGGAAAACTGCTTAAAGTATAAATTCCTAAACTCGATGGCATTGTACAACCCAATGGCCACATTTGGACAGCTTCAGTTTTTGTCCCTCGATCATATTGAGACCAGGTTCACATCTAAAAAGCAATGCAATTTTTAAAGGATTAATGAACACTGCAAGTTAAATTAAGACATCATAGGGAGACAGAAAAATGGTTAAATCACCTACCAAATAGCAAACTTTAATCAAACTTGTTCATTAGATATTCTGTCCATCTACCAAGCTTTTAGGAATCCTGGTGTGGCACTGTAGGATAAGCACTCAACTGCAAGGTCTGTTTGAACCACAAGGTTGGCATTTCAAACCCACCAGCCACTCCTTGGAAACTGTGTTCTTAGGTGCCATTGAGTTGGTACGAACTCATAGCAATCTTATGCACAACAGAATGAAACACTACCCAATCCTGTGCTAATCTCACACTCAAGCCCATCACTGCTGCCACTGTGCCAATCCATCTCATTGGGAGTATTCCTCTTTTTCTCCAACCCTTAATTTTACCAAACAAGGTATTGTTCTGCAGGTACAGGTACCTCCTGACAATATGTCAGAAGTATGAACGACAAAGTCTGGCTATCCTGGCTTCCAGTGAACAGTCTAGCTATATTTCTTCAAACATAGATTGGTTTGTTCTTTTGACAATCCATGGTACTTATAATATTTTCCTACAACACCATAGGTGAAATGCATCAATTTTTCTATGGTCTTCCTTATTCACTGTCCATCTTTCACATGCATTTGCAGTTATTGAAAATACCATGGCTTGGCTCAGGCACACCTTAGTCCTTGAACTGACATCTTTGCTCTTCGACACTTTAAAAAGGTCTTGTGCAGGAGATTTGCCTAATGCAATACATCGTTTGATTTCTTGACTGCTGCTTCCATGAGTGTTGATAGTTGATCCAAGAAGAATGAATTCCTTGACAACGTCAATCTTTTCTCCATTGATAAGAATGTTGTTTATTGGTCCAGTGGTGAGGATTTTTGTTTTCTTTACAATGAGATGCAATCCATACCGAAGGCTGTGGTCTTTGATCTTCATCACTAAGTGTTTTAAGTCCTCTTCACTTTCATCAAGCAAGGTCGTATCATCTGCATATCACAGGTTGTTAATGAGTCTTCCTTCAATCCTGAAGCCACATTTTTCTTCATATAGTCCAGCTTCTAGAATTATTTGCTTGGCATACAAAATGAATAAGTATAGTGAAAGAATACAACCCTGCCACACACCTTTCCTAATTTTAAGCCATCCAGTGTTCTCTTCTAACAGAATATGGGAATATTGAATGTTTTAAAATTAAGAAAGGTGTGCGACAAGTTTGTATTCTTTCAACCTGTATGAATACTTATTCAACCTGTATGCTGAGCAAATAACCCGAGAAATTGGGTTATATGAAGAAAAAGAACCAATAGATCTGTTTTGGAAGAAGTACAGCCCTAGTGCTCCTTAGAGGCCAAGATAACCAAACTTCCTCTCTCATACTTTGGACATATTGCCAGGAGAGACCAGTTGCTGGAGAAGGAAATCATGTTTGGTAAGGTGGAGGGTCAGAGAAAAAGAGGAAGACCCCCAATGAGATAGATTAGCCAAGTGGCAGCATCGATGGACTCAAGCGTGGTAACAGTAGTGAGGTTGGCCTAGGATCAGGCAGTGTTTCGTTCTGCTGTGCATAAGGTCGCTATGGCTTGGTACTGCCTCTTGGTCTATGTACAGGTTCCTCATAAGCACAATTAAGTGTTCTGAAATACTCATTCTTTGCAATGTTGTCCATAGCTTGTCATGATCCACACAATTGAAAGCCTTTGTGTAGTCAATAAAGCACAGATAAACATCTTTCTGGTATTCTTTGCTTTCAGCCAATATCCATCTGACATCAGCAATGATATCCCTGTTTCACATCCTCTTCTGAATCCGGCTTGTAACTCTAAAAATTCTCTGTCAATGTATGTTTGCAGCCATTTTTGGATTATCTTTAGCGAAATTTTTCTTGCGTGAGATATTAATGATATTGTCTGATGATTACCACATTCCATTGGGTCATCTCGCTTTGGAATGGGTAAAAATATGGATCTCTTCCAGTTAGTTGACTAGGTAGTTGTCTTCCAAATTTCTTGTCATAGATGAGTGCCTCCAGTGCTGCTTAACTTTGTTGAAAGACTTCAGTTTGCATTCCATCGATTCCTGGTGCCTTGTTCTTTGACAATACCTTCAATGCACCTTGAACTTCTTCCTTCAGGATCATTGGCTCTTGATCATATAATACCTCTTGAAAAGGCTGAACATCAACCATTTCTTTTTGGTACAGTGATTGTGCATTCCTCCTAC